ATTTAGACTAACTTATTATCGTCAAGTAGGATTTTCTATAGAAATGAAAATGGTAAGGACAGTTTCATTTTAGGACTTCTAATAGCATTGCACAGTACTCACATGGGCCAAAGGTGGGGACAGAATTTATGCCGTTTTTCTAAATGTTATGAAGGAATTTGATAAATGCACAACTTTTTACCAAAATAATGGAAGTCATAAGTAAAAAACAAAAAAAATAGCTAATTAGGGACAGAACAATATTTTAATATGATGAAAATTAAATGGTGATGATTTCAAACTTGAAATCCATAAATATCCAACATTAAGTTTGCAAGGAAACAGTGGAATTTATTGTATCAAAAGTGGGCATAGTATCTACATTGCCTGTCCTCTAACAGCCTGCCCATCCCTCATGGCCCAACTTTAGAACCTCCAGCCCCAATCAGAGAGTTAAGGCAGCAAGAGGTGGAATGGTACCCAAAAGCATCCCAAGTTACATGTCTGGTTTCCCTGAGAAGGGCCATACAGAACACGGATGACTGTGGCTGAGAGAGGGATGCTCTGGCCCTTGGAAAGTCCCTGATTAGCAGGTGGGCTGGACATTCCAGGGAAGTAGGGAAGTTAGTGTGATAAAATCCTAGAACAGATTTATGCTGATCTACTACCTGATGGTGACTCAGAATTGCCTGGCAGTTTTGTAGACTTGAAGGCTGCTGAGTTCTGCCTGCTATAACTTTGAATCAGTGGATCAATCAGAGATAACATTCAAGAGTGACATAGGTCTTCTTTGGGTGACTCTGAGGCCCATCCAGGGCAAGGTACCAGGCTCAGTGCAGTTTAGTGCTATGTTCCAGGTCACAGAGGAAGCAGGCTGGAAACCAGGCAGTCTGCCCATGGTGGTTTGCTCTTCTCTTCTCAATACCCCAGTAGTTAGAATCTTCCTAGCTTGAATGTTTTCTGATTCTGTGAGATAGACCTGAGAGCTCAGAAATGTTCAGGTGTGCCAAAGGAAGTTGTGGATTTAATATGTCAACTTAACTGGGTCACAGAGAGTCAGCTATTTGGTAAATATCATCTCTGGGTGTGTTTGTCAAAATATGGGTGGGTGAAATTGATATTTGAATTGGTGTACTCAGTAAAGCAGACTGCCCTCTCCAGTCTGGGTGGGCATCATTCAATCCATCAAGTAGTTGACTAAAACAAAGGCAGAGAAAGAATTTGCCTGTTCTCGCCTTGAGCTGCCATAACGGTCTTTTCTTGTCCCCAGACTGGGGATTACATATGTGACTCCCCTGCCTCTTATACCCTTTACTTAGACTTCCCTATGTCTCCTGGTTGCAGACAGCATATCATGGTATTATGCCACTTCTATAACTATGTGAGACAATACCTCATAAGGAATTTCTCCTGATAAGTCCATCAATAAGATACAGATAAATATATCAATAGGATTAATATGTGTTAGTATATATTATCAATATGCTTAGTGATAAATCCATTGATAATATTTAATTAAATATCAATGCTATGACATATTTGTCAAGTCTTTGGAGAACCTAAGTAATACAGAAACCATCAGTAATCACTAAAGTA